ATACAAATGGATTAAAGACTTACATCTAAGACCTCAAACTATGAAACTGTTACAAGAAAATGTTGGGGAAACTCTTCAGGACATTGGTCTGAGCAAAAATGTCTTGAGTAATTTCCTATAAACACAGGCAACCACAGCAAAAATCGATAAATGGGATCACATCAAGTTAAAAAGCTTCTGTGCAGCAAAGGTAACCATCAACAAAGTGAAGAGACAGTCTATACAATGAATCTGCAATATTACTGAATTTGTAAACTACCCATCTGACAAAGGATTAATATCCAGGACATATAAGGAGCTCAAACTCTACAGGAAAAAAAGCTAATAATTTGATTAAAAAAATAGGCAAAAGATCTGAATACATATTTCTCAAAAGAAGACATGCACATGGCAAAAACCCGGTTAAAATGGCTTTTATCCAAAGATGGGCAATAACAAATGCTGGCGAGGATGTGGAGAAAAGAGAACGCTTGAACACTGTTGGTGGGAATGTAAATTAGTACAACCACTATGGAGAACGGTTTTGAGGTTCCTCCAAAAAACTAAGAATAGAGCTACCATATGACCCAGCAATCCCACCGCTGCATATATACCCAAAAGAAAGGAAACCAGTATACTGAAGAGATATTTGCACTCCCATGTTTGTTGCAGCACTGTTCACAATAGCCAAAATTTGGAAGCAACCTAAGTGTCCATCAAGAGATGAGTGGACAAAAAAAAATGTGATATATATCCACAACAGAGTACTATTCAGCCATGAAAAGGCATGAGATCTTGTCATTTGCAACAACGTGGATGGAGACGGAGGTGGTTAAGTTACGTGAAATAAGCCAGGCACAGAAAGATAAACTTTGTTATGTTCTCATTTGTTTGTGGTAGGTAAAAATTAAAATAATTGAACTCTTGGAGATAGAAGAAGGAGGCTGAGAAGGGTAGCTGGGGTGGGGGGAGGCGGGGTAGTGGGGATGCTTCATAGGTACAAAAAGTAGCTAGTAAGAATAAATAACAGTATTTGATAGCGCAACAGGGTGACTACAATCAATAACAATTTAGTTGTACATTTTAAAATAACCAAAAGACTATAATTGGATTGTTTATAAAACTAGAAGAATAAATGTTTGAGAGGATGGATATCCCATTTATCATGATGTGACTATTATACATCACAGGCCTGTATCAACGTGTCTTATGGACCCCATAAATATATATACCTACTATGTAGCCACAAAAATTAAAAGCTTAAAAAAAATGTATTCTGGTATATGCATGAGAATGCTCATGCCAACATTATTTATAAAGCAAATTGTATACAACCCCAACATGCCTTGGCAAGAGAAAGAATAAGGTGTGGACAGTCACAGAATGGACATTAGATGACAATGACCAAACTGCCAGATACGACCACCATCAGGGGTACATGTCAGAAACAACATACATAATATGATACTATTTTCACAAAGCTCAAAACTCAAGGAGCCATTATTTAGGAATATAGGCATGTGTGGCAAACTCCATTTTAAAAAGGAGAAGGGGGTGGCTCTGGGGTTGGAGGTGACCATGGATAGAGAGGCAGGGATAGGGGAGGAGCCCATATTGGTTGGTTATGTCCTATTTCTCAAATTGAGTGAGGAGCTCATGGATTTATCTAAGCTTTATGATTTACATATACATTATATATATTCTTTAGCATATGTCAAATTACACAATTTAAAATTTTTAAGAAAAAATTGGCCAGGTGCAGTGGCTCATATCTGTAATCCTAGCGCTTAGGTAGACGTATCGCTTGAGCTCAGAAGTTCGAGACCAGCTTGGTGTCTCTGTAAAAAACACAAAAATCAGCTGGGCGTGGTGGCACACACCTATGGTCCCAGCTACTTAGGAGGCTGAGGTGGAAGGATTGTTTGAGCCCAGGTGGTTGAGGCTGCAATGAGCTGTGATCATGCCATTGCACTCCAGCCTGGGTGACAAAGTGACACAAGAAAGAAAGGAGAGAGAGAGAGAGAGAAAGAGAAACAGAAACAAAAAAGAAAAAATTACCAGCCTGGTGCTTGGTAGTCCAAATTTAACTTGCCACCAGCATGAGCTGTCATCAGAGACAAGAGGAGGAGAGCATCCCAGAGGCTTGGCGAGATAGAGATAGGTGTCCCGGCTGCACAAGCCAGAGGCAACAACTGCCTCTGTTTCCTACTTGTCAAATGAACACAGCTGGTGGTACCTACCTCCAGGGCCACAGTGAGGATCAGATGAGATGAGTGCTATGTAAGCCACAGGGCTCTGTCCACACAGATGTTCGATGTGCCATACAGATGGCTGGCTCCTCTAGGGAATTACTTCCCCTCCACTCCTTGCAGTTCTGTGGGGCTGCCAAGGCCTGACTCCCCATCCTCTGGGCTCAGGGCAAAGAGCAACTGCAGGCGAGGCCAGCAGCAGTATTCCCAGGTTGTATGCACAGGCATGGAAGGCAGTGGGGGGCGTGGAATCATTTGGGGCATGGGGCCCCCAAAAATCATTGTCCTGATCTTGCTCCTGACATGCCTGGAACTACTCTGGTTTTTGTCCTGGCAGGTCAGCTGATCATTGCACCTGATACACCTGGCACCATCAAAGAGCAAAACCCAAACCAAGTCTTTCCTTATGTAAGTCAATCAGAGCAGGGTTCTGTTGACTGCATCCAAGGAAGCCCAGCCAATTCAGGAGGGAATGCCTTTTTATTTCAACAGCACAGGTGCACTTTGGACATTTGCCAAGGGAGGTTAAGGGAGGTGTCAGCTGAGACTGCTCAAGTGCACCCTGGTTCAGCCACCTCCTAACTGGTCTCTCCCCATCAGTCTCACCTGCCCCCAAAGCATTCCAGAATACGCTGCATTCCAGATTAATACAATTTATTCCAGATTAACCTCCAGAAAACACTTTCAACTACTGACTACACCTCTTGCCTACAGTCTAGGCCCCAGAACTTTACCAATGAAGTCCAGGAAACAGGTGACCAGCAATGGTAGGTGGCAGGGAAGGTGGCATCTGTTGGTTCTGCTCCCCCTCCAGGTAGGAATTCCTGTCACCCACCTCACAATGGGTGTGGCAGGAGTGAATGGCCTAGAGATTTGCCATCTTGTAGAATTCCAACTTTTAAAAGTAAACGCCAAATGCAGGCATTATGGTAAAAGTATGATTACCCCCGTGGCCATCTGATCCTGAATTGGATCACTTAGCACTGTTCCTGTAAGTAAGCTCCAGCTTCTGTGAGTTCCTGTCACCAGAGAAAGGTAACAAGTAGATGCCCTGCTGTACACGTCTGAATTTGCACGAAGGCAGGGGGTGGGGGGTGTTGGTGGTAGTAAATAAACAGGGCATGTGAAATGTGACTCTTGCCTTGAATTGAGCCCCTAATTCTCATCAGTCTATTAGGACAGAGGCTCCATGGGAAAGCAGGCGAGCGCGATCGTCACTGTGAAATACACGCCTGCCTCCTCAGGTGGAAGGAGCTCATCTGTGCAGCCTGTTTGCCTGGAATCTTGTTTCCTCTGCTCATTCGCTTCAATGTCAAATCCCACCCTCATCATGAAATGGGAGCTCAATGACCCAGAAATAATTTGAACAAATCTATTTCACTGAGGATACATTCATTTTTTTCTTCATTAACTCTTTGGGGCCCTGTCAGGTATGCTGAGAGCAGGATTTATCTTTCAGCTGCTGGTCTGGGGGATCTTAAAATCTGGACAAGTTATACATTTAATGAAGCAGACTTTATTTATTTTATTTTTTTTTGAGACAGAGTCTTGCTCTTTTGCCCAGTCTGGAGTGCACTGGCCACAATCCTGCCTCACCTCACCCTCTGAAGGTGGACGACATTTCATGTTTTGTAGACACGTATTTTTATATGAAGAAAATGGTTTACCTTTTCTATGAAAAAACACTGCATTGTCTCCCTTTCTTTATGTTTTAACTGAAAGAATTTTTTTAAGAAGTAGCATGTTATCCAGGTGAATGTCACTACTTTTTTTTCCCCCCAAATGAAATAACAAACATTTAACAAGCCCAGATTTTTTGCCGTCTTAAGACCAAAATACACATGCACACACAATAATCCTGCTCCCCTAAGATGAATGGCTGGAGTAAGTAGTAACTCATCCAGGGTGACTGGCTATTTATAAGATTTCACACAAGTAAAATGCTAAAATATGGTGAGTTCGCACTAGGTTCCAGAGCAGCAACAATGGAATAGATGGAAAAAATACCCAGTCCTGAACCTCACCTCCCTGACGCCCATTGAAACCAACATTCTTATTCCATAAACTGCTTTTTATGAAATGTGGTGATTCCTCAAAAATCTGTGTTCAGGGAAGTATTCTTCAAGCACATACAAGTATTAATACACAGACCACTAGAAAAGCTTCTCATCATTGAGGTCTCTATGTCTTCCTAATTAATAATATAATCTAGCATTGCTGTCCCATCTTATTTCCAAAACACATCTGGTCTTCGGTGAATTCATGCAAATACAAACATCCACCAGGAGCCTATGAGGCGATCTGTTCAGAGCAAAACATAATCAGAAACAGCAAAACCAGAAGTCATCAGTCATGAGTCCCAAAACACTTTGTTAAAATATGTAACGTTCTGGTTTTGTATGAAGAAACTGTTTTCTTTAGCAGGATCCCACAGCTGAGCATCACATTGTCTACTATACTTCCTTAGGGAAAATAGAAAACAGATTCACCGAAACATTGGGAGGTTGCATGAAATGATTTAAGGTGAAATTGTCTTACAGTATCTTTCCTCTCTGGTTAATTCTTACATGGGGTCTGCAATTTTGTTCAAAAGCAAGGTTTCAATGTGCAGAATTTTTAACCTACAGAATGCCAGTACAGAAAATATGTTATTCATCATCAAATTGGAATTTAATCCCCATTCTACAGATCCTACAACACAGAACCAGAGACTTAATTGTGACATCCATTTTTTTCTCCAACATCCCTACAAGTCAGTAAAGCTGATCGTACCAGAAGCATTGCTGATGCTCCATTGGGTCTGGATAAGTGGATGGACATTTCGGGAAACATCCTGTCAATGCGGCTGATCACGTCATCAACATACCTAGGTGGGAAAAAAATACACATGTGTCAACTACAACTCCAGTTAAGAACTACATATTTATAGTATTTGAAAGACATTGCTTTTAAATTTGATTTTTTATCAATATAACACATTTTTAAGAAGGCAAATAGGAGCTATGTCCAGATAATGTGTTTTTAATGCTAGTTCTTGATTTTTTATTTTAAGGCATGACAATTAATTTTCTTCTATAGGAGGTGAGAATTTAGCTGTGTCACCTGCTGGGCCACTGGGCTCTAACAATATGGCCCCCTCCCTTTGTCCTTCCAGTCCAGGATAGCCTCAGCATCCAGTTATTGTGCACCTCTGGGCTGTCTCACTGTCTTGTTTAGCTTCTCCTCTGAATCAATGGAATAACCAATTCCTGGGATTAAATTCCTTCTATTTTAAATACCTGAAGTCATTCCTGACCTCCTGGTTGTACCTAATTCAAGTTGTATCACAATTTTTACTTAAATCAGTAGTCTGTGATTAATTATAAAATCTCTGCATATATTTTTAATAGCTGCCCACGTAGTGGCTCATGACTACATTTATTTACTTATACAGCTTTCTGTTTTCCTAGATTTCTATTTTGCTTTTTTCAAGACTGAGTCTCACTCTTTAGCCCAGGCTGGAGTGCAGTGGTGTGATCTTGGCTCACTGTAACCTCTGCCTCCCAGGTTCAAGTGATTCTCGTGCCTCAGCTTTCCAAGTAGCTGAGATTACAGGCACCACCACTGACAGCTACTTTTTGTATTTTTAGTAGGGATGGGGTTTCACCATGTTGGCCAGGCTGGTCTCGAACTCCTGACCTTAAGTGATCTGCCTGTCTCGGCCTCCCAAAGTGCTGGGATTACAGGCACGAGCCACTGCGCCAGCCCTGTTTTGCCTTTTCATTTGATTAATTTTCTATGTACCTGTTACAGTTTTATTCCTAAACTATCTACCTAACTTTTACTCCAAACATATCAGGCAAGCTATCAGCTTCATGTTTTCCTTGGAGACATCCCACCAAAAGGGAATCCTCTATTCTTATAGCCCAGATGAAACCTGTATCTCTTAAGGTTTAATAACAATTGAGGTCAGTGACATTAAGAACTTAGCATAGGATCTGGCACATATAAAGGATGTAAAAATTTTAAGTGCCCTGATTGTTAGTTCCACCACTTATACCATGAGCTGATTCTGCAAAAATACCCTCTCTTACTGGGATAAATTCTCCCCTCCAGTGGTGGCACATTGTGAGGACATCAGCCCGTAGCATAGAGCAGGATCTGGCTCAGGTCCTTTGAGAACAAATTCACCATCCAATCACATTGGACACAGAGAGGATGTATAATATAATAGCTGACATGTAAAACGATCTATTAGGGATTTTACATTGGATTTCATATCCATTGGTTATGACAAATTAAATTACATGTCCATTAAGTCAGGGACACATAAAAGGTATATTCTCTTGGGGTAAGAGGGAGATTAGCTCTCTGTTCACAACATGAAAGGATTTTAGTTTTAAGCTGGGGCTCATGAGAGACAGCAGAAAACATGAAGCCATTTGGTAAAAAGTGAACATCACATGCCAGCCATCAAAGTCAGAAAGCGGCCCCACCTATTCTCTAAGGCAGGCCTATCAGGTTTTCCTTAGAGAATGTTATGTCGAGTTTTGAAACTTTAAGCTGAAGAAGGAAGGGGAAAAATTAGAGAGGGCCCAGCAGTAAACAACGACAACAGTAAGAGGACAGCAGCAGAGATGAGTGAGAAGGGGCGGGGTGGAACTGAAGGGTATTTGCTCCTGGGGAAAAGAAGGCTGGGGAGACGCTGATATTCTTCAAGTACATGAATGGCTTTTATGAACTTAATAGCAAACAGCATCTCCAATCCCTCAAAAACACCATACCGTGAGGACATGCCACCGAAAAGTGAACATGCTCAGAAAGAATGAGAGGCATGTCTTAAAGGCAAGGCCCCATTCTGCTTTAATGGTTTAAGAAACAATCTTTGCTGGGTGGCTAAGACACAGGCTGACCACACATCATTTCCTGTGGTTCCTTCTAGATTTACAGCATCATGACACACAACCTTGGATCTAAGCTTAAATGCTACATAAGGAGTGAGAAGGTGAAGGAGGAAATGAACTCATTTTTCATCATTGCCTAACGTTTCTTGAAATGGTGAAGGCACATGACAAAAACGTCATGCCCAAATTTTATCCCAGGTCACCGGAAACATTTCTGCGTGTATATACTCTTTTCTAAATTTGTGTATGTGGTTTAAACCGAGTTTCTTACTACTCAGCAGGAAGCAAACATCTACTGTCCTGTGTGAATGGAGGTCATTGCTAAGTATATGCTAATGGGGAGGACAGGCGATGTCTTCTGAACTGATCCTCAATCAATAGCCATCATAGCTCTGGACAGCAGAAAGCAGATGAACATGCAGATTCCAGCACACAGGTAACATCATCATTTGCTTTCCCTTGTACCTTTCACCTTGAAGGTGTCAAGACACATTCTGGAAAACCAGTCTCCTTAGGAGGCTAGAAAAATACAGAAATGGGTGGGTTCAGTGATGATCCCAGGTGAAGCAAAAAGCCAGAAACCAAGTCAGTGTGTAAATTTCTAGAATTCCATGCCAACTACCTAGCTTTGCTTGCTTTTAGTAAGGGCCAGAGTTCTACATGGGCAAACATATATTACTGGCCATTATTTATTTATTTATTTATGAGATTTTTACCTGTAAGAAAAGGCAATGGCAGAAGAAAAATACGTTCCCAGGAAAAGTGTGTGCAGGCGGCACAGGTAAGTAAAGAGATCTGGGTGGGTTTTGTTGCTGTTTTGCTGTTTCTTCCCCAACCCGTGACCTGAGACGAAGCTCAGCAAACTCAAAGGCTGTATGAAGCAAAACTTGAATTTTCAGGAGACTGCTTTCCAATCACATGCCTAACACAAAAGAGATGCAAATTTCTTTTCTACAGGTGACATTATGTATTTGCCAAAAAGGGAAAGAGAGAAAGTCAGCTGCATCTTTAGCTGAGGAAAACAATGTCTAAATTCTCGAGGCAAAAATCAAAACACTTCATTTTCAAACAGACCCAACCTTCGAAACACAAATCAACCATGAGTGACTTGACGGAAATAAGGAAAGCTTGGAAGCTCAAATTAAAAATCTAGAGACAAAAATGACACTCTTTTTTTGCTGAGGGAGGGGGTGTTGGTATGGGACGTGGTCTCTGGCATCCATCTCCGAGTGCTGCCTCCCGAGACAGTGAGCACCACTAGCGTCTGCAGCGGGCTCTGCAGTGCAGCGCCCCACTTTGAGAGCAGGGCTAAGGACAGGTAGGAACAGCGTGCTCCCCTCCTACACTTCCACCATATGTTACACTCTGTTCTGTGGCAGAATCAAATTACTTTAATTTTTACCTTTGGAATATAGGCAAACAAGCAGTAACACAGCAGTGGTGACTAGTTTACACTTCAGCAGACGCGGCGCGGAAAGACATTAATTTAGTGCCAAATTGAGCGGTGAGTCACAATTTGCACATATCTGTCAACCTGTTAACAGGGTAATAACTTGGAAAGACTGCTGTTCCTATTTACATTACAGAAGCCTTTCGAAAATGGAGAGCTGCTTGGTTCTCCTTCTTGAAGTATTCGGTCAATGAGCTGGTTTGATGGTCCAAGAACTGGGCTAGAAACACAAACTTCTAGAAATTACAGATTTGAATCAAGGTATAATCCATAACTTCAGTAAGTTCAGATAGAAAACTAACTTTTACATAACCAGAAAATTCTGTTTCCCCGTCCTTTGCCCTAGCTGCAGTCAGACTCTTAATGGTTTCCAATCCACTTTTTTCCAGCGCACCCCAACCATCTCTTCCTGAAGGACGGCTTCAGTCTCAACCGCCTCAACATCTCTGCTGCATCAGAAACAATCCCCCCATTCTCAAATGTCTAAAATAAATTTCAAGAGCCCTATACTTTGTTCACTGCCAATTTTCTTCAAGTAGCCCAGCTTGCTCCTTTCAACGGCCTTGGTCCGAGAATTAAAGAACACCAGGACCTCAGAGGTCCTCTCTTCCAGTGTCTCCATCAATTTAGGGCTTTAACAGCAACTCCAATAGGTGGTCTGCATAAATACCCCTGTATCACCACCTCATGAGGCAGTCCCTTGCATTTGCTTGACGTCCGATTGTTTCAAACCCACTTAATAGTCCCTGCACACAATTACCCTACTTCAGCCTTTTGAATGACATGCAAATATTTTCTCCAAAACCTAAAGGCTTTCTGCAAATATATAAAAGACTGCTGGGTTTTCTTATTTTTTTCATCAGTGTTTTTTAGCCTTTTTTTTTTTTTT